CTTTACCTTGATTGCAGTTGTCATCCATCAAAACTTTACTAGCAAGACTGGTTATCAAGTCGAGAAACCGTATTTTGTGTCTCATCTGGCCATACAGCAGTGGGATGTGTTGACAACCCGTTCAGCCTGTACTTCACACAGCGCGACGTGTTAGGGCTCGCTCTCTTCAGAGACAATCACAGAATATGACACACTAAATAAACACACTGGAATGAATAATTAACTTAAAAACGCAACACGAGTCTCTGTTCTCTCTGCAATCTCTGATGTAATCAGCCTGGTTTCCTTTATATTCGCTTACTGGATCAGTGGACTGAAAACTTTCCCGGAGTTTAGTGGCTTAAAATGATCTAATCGCAAGCAAAGAAGCAAAATTGGGTTAAAGGGTTAGAATAGAAATTGTGCTTCAGTAATTTTGCGTTAATTGCGTTAAATTATTTTAACGTGTTAAGGATTGTAAAATTAATCGCATGCATTAACGCATTAACGATGACAGCCCTAATAATTATATAATGTTGTATTTGTTTACCCCACCCTCTTGACAATAAACAGATTACAGGAAAAATATGAAATAGCCCACCTACATCCTGGAACCGTGCCGAATGAAATTCACAGAATACAGACCCTCAGGAGGGTGACCACAACGCTTTCATCATAGTGACTGAAAGATTTCAATTGGCGTGGCAGCTCAGCATATCAAGTGTTCCAGGAACAAGAATGGTGCAGCACATTATTGTAGTAGCTTGTTCTTACATAATCTGATTATATTTCAGATGTGAGATAAACAGTAGGGTTACACAAGGTAATAAGGATAGAGACAAGTGTGTGGTGGACCCAAGATTACAAGATTAAAAGCAGTAAGCTGGCAAATGTGCAAGTGTGTGTGAGAGACCCTCAAGAGGTGTGTCTGAAAAATTGATAAAATAACCCAAATTAATGCTCGAAGCACTGAATAATTTAAAGGCTTAAGAGTAGAGTACATCATTTGGCACTAGAGGAATGATCTGTCTCTGCAGGAGCTCACTGTGAAGGAAAACGATAAATCAATAAAATCTCATCACTTGTACACCTGCAAAGGAAACCTTTTCAAATGCATTCTGGACTTTATTCACATTCAACGCGATTGTATAACCAGATATCTACTACAGTACACGGATCCATTCAGTATAACTAAACACAGTAACATAAACATGACAAATCAAAACATTATCATGAATGTGTTTGGAAACAATGTGTATGTACAGAAATGTCTGTGCATAAATACAATGTGCGATCATTGCGTCAAGAGCTCATACACGCATTATTATAACGGACTCACGCGTGCTTACTCTACGACTCCTGTACGCCACCGCAATGGTCTTTACCTTGATTGCAGTTGTCATCCATCAAAACTTTACTAGCAAGACTGGTTATTAAGTCGAAAAACCGTATTTTGTGTCTCATCTGGCCATACAGCAGTGGGATGTGTTGACAACCCGTTCAGCCTGTACTTCACACAGCGCGACGTGTTAGGGCTCGCTCTCTTCAGAGACAATCACAGAATATGACACACTAAATAAACACACTGGAATGAATAATTAACTTAAAAACGCAACACGAGTCTCTGTTCTCTCTGCAATCTCTGATGTAATCAGCCTGGTTTCCTTTATATTCGCTTACTGGATCAGTGGACTGAAAACTTTCCCGGAGTTTAGTGGCTTAAAATGATCTAATCGCAAGCAAAGAAGCAAAATTGGGTTAAAGGGTTAGAATAGAAATTGTGCTTCAGTAATTTTGCGTTAATTGCGTTAAATTATTTTAACGTGTTAAGGATTGTAAAATTAATCGCATGCATTAACGCATTAACGATGACAGCCCTAATAATTATATAATGTTGTATTTGTTTACCCCACCCTCTTGACAATAAACAGATTACAGGAAAAATATGAAATAGCCCACCTACATCCTGGAACCGTGCCGAATGAAATTCACAGAATACAGACCCTCAGGAGGGTGACCACAACGCTTTCATCATAGTGACTGAAAGATTTCAATTGGCGTGGCAGCTCAGCATATCAAGTGTTCCAGGAACAAGAATGGTGCAGCACATTATTGTAGTAGCTTGTTCTTACATAATCTGATTATATTTCAGATGTGAGATAAACAGTAGGGTTACACAAGGTAATAAGGATAGAGACAAGTGTGTGGTGGACCCAAGATTACAAGATTAAAAGCAGTAAGCTGGCAAATGTGCAAGTGTGTGTGAGAGACCCTCAAGAGGTGTGTCTGAAAAATTGATAAAATAACCCAAATTAATGCTCGAAGCACTGAATAATTTAAAGGCTTAAGAGTAGAGTACATCATTTGGCACTAGAGGAATGATCTGTCTCTGCAGGAGCTCACTGTGAAGGAAAACGATAAATCAATAAAATCTCATCACTTGTACACCTGCAAAGGAAACCTTTTCAAATGCATTCTGGACTTTATTCACATTCAACGCGATTGTATAACCAGATCATTAAATAAACACACAGCATTATCCTGTAACATTCAGTGCAGAGAGTATAGAGAGTATCTATGCTATAACAGTCACTCCCTCTCTCTCTTTCCTGCAGTCACAACAGTATGTTCAACAGAAACAAAGGAACGCCTTTATGAGATCACATGTCATCCAAACCCTCTCATTAAAGCAGAGAGGACCAGTGACCTGGTAGCCATAGTGATGCAGCTTGTCATTTTTGCACCTGTACTTGGCCATTCCAGCCTTTTGTGTTTGGATAGGACATCTTAGGCCTACTTATCTTTTGTTGCTCTTTCGGTTTCTTAATTTAATTTTTTCAACTTTAATCCGAATTAGCATGGAAACCGGCCTTTCTTGCAGGTTTTGCAGTTTACCGTTCAATTCAATTCAAGTTTATTTGTACAGCGCTTTTCACGATACAAATCATTGCAAAGCAACTTTACAGCAAATTAAGTTTCTACAATATTTAGTGGTAGCTTATCAGTGGTGACTCAGTGGTCAATGTACATATGGCAGAAATGTACAGAAAAATCAATTAAAGATGTAATCAAACCGTTAAATGCAAATGTTAACAATACCTGAAATACTTCAGAGGGTCGAGGTGGGTCTCATTGCTTATGTTTTCATCTTTCAAGTATCTGTTTTTCAAGTATCAAGTATCTATCCATCAAGAACGGGTTTAAGTGAAGTGGTTTTATCAGAATGTTGAGATATTGAGATGACAAAGTAGGAAAAAATATTTTAAAAAAATCAACATTTGCACAAATTAATTGTTTAAAATAGTAAATTTCCATTTCACGCAAACTTCAACTTTGGCAAATAAATTCAGTGTCACTTCTTTAAATGATGCAAAACACGTTTGTATGTGTGTATGTATCATGCACTATGTACATGCAAGTTTTACTTAAATGTTAATTGCAGGAGTGTTTATCTGAGGTTGAGTTACAACCGACCCATACTCTGTACACACAGATCTGCTCCGAGTTGTCATATTTAGAGCTCAAGGTGACACAGTAGCCAAGATTAGTGGAACACATTTAGACATTTTTACAAATATCAGTTACTGGTTGTAACGGAGGCCAGGGGGAGGTGTTTTTATTTGTGTGTACTCATGCTAGAATTGTGGTTATAATGGTATTTGATCATAAAACGTGTTTGACTGACAGGTAATGTTTTGCATAGCAGTTTGAGAAATATGATCGTGCACACACACACGGTCCTGAATGCTAGACGAGTCGGAGTGCAAACAGTTCCATGCTGTGCTAGAGTCCACATAGTTTGCCGTTGCCACAGACCCGGCAGTAACTCTCCTTTCACTATTATAATTCATGGCTATTTACGGCCAATGGGACGGGCGAGCTGGGCCTCCTGCCGCAAACTCAGCCCTTAACCTTGCACTAACAACCCCACCCTACACCCCCTCCCCCAACTCACCCTGGCTCTGTAAGTGAAAGGCCCATATGTCTTGTGCTGGCTCCTGCCCATGGCCATGACATTCCCTTTGAAGGCAGTCCTGCCTGCTGACTGCTAAGGAGAAGCTTGTGCCATTCTGAGTTGTTACGCAATTCCTAATGCCATTCAACACCTACATAAACAGTCTGGGCAGCTTCTAGAGTGGGTACATTTACCGTGCCAAGTTTTATGTAAGCCGTGCTGCGTGGATATGAACATAAAGGCATTTGGATGCATGGACATTTATTAGGCTTGGCTCTGAGGATATATTATTTATGGCTTTTAAACATTATCACAAGACAAAGTCCATCTAAACTAACTTTAACAAATTGTTTTGCTACACAAATTTTCCATACTGATCATGCCTAATTTGCCAGCATAATGCTGGTATCCAAATAGTTTGTTTATAGGAGACGTCACTGCACCATTGAGTCACCCTCGAAACCTTTCCAGTTTCAGTTTTCTGTGCGTGAGTAAGCGTGGCCAAACATGCCAGAACATGTGTTTCTGGTTGTGATGCAGAATCAGATCGCGCATGGAATAAAAGAGACACTTGCGCACCTTATGACACGCATTCTCTAGCACAGTGGATCTCAACCTTGTTCCTGAAGGGGTCCTACAACAGTACACATGTTGGATGTCTGCTTAAAGGGATAGTCCACCCAAAAATTACTTTCCCACATGCCATTCTAAACCTGCATGACTTTCTCTCTTCTGTAAAACACAAAAGACGATATCTTAATGAGTGTAGGCAACCAAACAGTTTGGGGTCCCATTGGTTTCCACAATACAGACTAAAAAACTACTATTGAAGTCAATGGGACCCAAATATGTTTGGTTACCAACATTCTGCAAAATATCTTCTTTTTTATTCTACAGAGGAAAGAAAGTTTGGTTTGGAATGACATGAGGGTGAGTAAATGATGACAGAATGTCCCTTCATACCTGATTAAACTCATCAGCTTATTAGTAGCGACATCCAGAATGTGTAGTGTCTGGTGGCCTACAGGAACACAGTTGGGAGGTACTGCTTGAGTGGAGTGCTTACCTTCCAACCAGCTGAGCTGTTTGTGTCGCCTTTGTCTTTAAAGTATGGGACGCTTCTGACCATCCAGTCGTAGATCTGGGACAATGTCAGTCTCTTGTCTGGGGTGCCCTCTATGGCTTTTGTGATAAGGTCTGCGTAGGACAGGTTGCCCCATGCGTTCCTCCTTGAAGATGACTTCCGGGGAGTTTGCTGTTGGCTGCCCTGACCGCTCGCCTCCGGACTCGCCGTGGTTGCAGAAGTGGGGTGAGAAGAAAGCGGGGAGCCTGTGTTCTCCTGACCGCTAGCGGGATGCAGTTCCTCAGCCAGGCTTGGGCTGCCATTGTCCTCTCCTTCACCCACACTGTTGGCGTTGATTGCCATCGCATTGTCATCCTCATCATCCTCTTCCTCTGGGATTATGTCAGTGTCATTGGATGCAGGCTTCACCGAGCCGGACTCTGGCAGTGGCCAAGTGCATGATCTCGGCCGTTTCTGTGGCTCAAAATCCGGATCGATGGCTACGTCCAGAGAGGACAGTGGCTCCAGGGTTGTCTCTGCCATCACCTCTACCAGCCTTCTCTGACACTCCTCTGTATTGTCTTGGTCAAAGTTAAATAGGCAGTGGGAAGCGGTCACAGTCGCATTCCATGAATGCACCTCTACTCTAAATGGTGCTTAAATGCTTCTTGAGCGACTAGTACAAATGTTAATGATAATTAACACCCCTCCCTGTGTTTCAGAAAGACAAAAATACAATATACAATTTAAAGCCATATGACATAAAATACATCATAATCATTTATATACAACTGTGCATTATATACATACACATACACATACACATTACATTACAGAGAGAGAGAGAGATTATTATGCACTTTAAATTTAACATTTTGCCATCAAAATAAGATAATTTTAAGCTACTATTTCAACAACCATTAAACGTTCAATTAAACGTATTCTTTTTCGATGTGTCTGATGAACCAGTGAAAATGAAACGCTTCTGGAAATGTGGGGTGCGCGCGCACACGTATGCGTTGGTCCGCGCAAGACTCGCGTGAAGATATAAACAAAGATTAGCGTGTATACTGTATGCAAAGTGCTCCGCTTTCATTTCAGTTTAACACTTGCTTGATGGCACATATTCTTGCTCGTTACACTTTCATAATGACACATCCTGACTCATATTAGATTATTCGTATCCCAGTGGAGATGACCGCACGAATGAGATATTAAAACCACTGATATTGTGAAAGTGAAAAAATTAGGACACAAATGTATTGCTATTCCATAACAATATTCAATATTAGTCAATATTATTATTTATAATATGATGGTTGGCTGGATTCCGAAAAACAGCCTCAATGCAAAGGGGACCAATAAGAGAAACAATTTAAAAATCTGTCATGTTTAAAATTACATTATTCATATGAGTCTACAAGCATTTGCAACGTTTTCAAAGCCTAATTAGCATAATTCCAAACAAAATATCAGTAAATTACTAAAGGTGTATTTACACAAACTGCGCACGTAAATAGCAACTGTCAACCAGCACTACTATTGTGCCTAATGTAAATAACAATAACAATGAATAAAATGTGTGTGTGTGTGTGTGTGTATGTGTATATATATATATATATATACACATACACACACATATGCATGCGTATACACTATAATATTAGAATGCAAAATGCAATACCTCAACACGCACCATTCAGCCAGAGCCCTTTCTCTTCTCTGTGTCGCACACCAGTCACTTGGTGCACTGATGTAATACAACTATATCTCTCCAGCGCACTTCGCCAGTAGCCACGGACAAAGCGCCACAACGGCACTGCACACTACCATCACAAGCAGCAAGTCACTGTAGTGACAAAAGAACTGAACTGTCAGAGCGGGCTAGAATCAAAACGCCGTTATGTCAGATCAAGACAACTACAATAACGAGGACAGAACTACGCGTGCTCGTAGACAGTTCACAGAAAACATCTTCTGATGCACGACCTTTGACACATCAAAATTCCCATCCAGAAAGCCTTTTCTCTCTCTGCACCTATCTATCTAAAGGCACAGGAGGACTATCTACTCTAATCGTCTGTCAGCACTCAAACGAGCTCAATTTAGGACTGAGTGACTGGAGGAGGGCGAGAAGGGAAGCGCAGCCTCTACCGCTGACAGGGACCTGCCCCCTAGATTCCGCGCATGGGATCGCCTCTTAAAGGGCCACTGCTCCCCATCACAGCTGCCAACAGGCGACATCTTCTGATGCACGACCTTTGACACATCAAAATTCCCATCCAGAAAGCCTTTTCTCTCTCTGCACCTATCTATCTAAAGGCACAGGAGGACTATCTACTCTAATCGTCTGTCAGCACTCAAACGAGCTCAATTTAGGACTGAGTGACTGGAGGAGGGCGAGAAGGGCAGCCTCTACCGCTGACAGGGACCTGCCCCCTAGATTCCGCGCATGGGATCGCCTCTTAAAGGGCCACTGCTCCCCATCACAGCTGCCAACAGGCAAGAGACATGTTCAAACAAGTCACTTCAAGCACTGAGAGTCCCTATCAGTTTATCGGATTTCCACATATAGATTCAGTTGCTAGAAATTGTAGTTCAGACATGCAAACAACATTATCTGGGCATATTATCTGGAATGTGCTATAGATTAGAGATAGCATTTTCAGGTAACCAGAGTAGGACAGTATTAAGAGAGTTAATGTGGCAAATGTGTTATAATCAGATGCCTGATAAGTAGCCTAATATCTTAAAGGAATAGTTCATCAAAAATGTTGTTATTTTCTCCACTGTTCCAATGCAGTATTGTCTTCTTTTTGAAACATGTCGGTATAGTGGTTTGAAATGAAAATTCACCCTATGTTGGAAATGCATGTTACAGATCTTATTTTTATTTATTTATTTGACCTAAAATGTCATAACTGGATCTTCTGGGGAAACAACACACTTCTCTCTAGTAAATTAGGCAGGTTTTCTCCAATAGTGTAAGTCTGCTTAAACTCGCCTGTAAAAACCCATTCATCTTTCCCAATTTTTTGAGTGCAGTGCCCACTTCTCAAAATCCAATCAACAAGCGACAGATCTGTTACATCACAAACTCACAATACAGAAGAGAAGATTTGTTGCTATTAAATGCCTACATTCTAGAAAAGCGACAAGAAAGTAATAGAACCACAAAAGTAACCCATATGTGACTGGTAACCAAATGTTTTGTTTTTGTGACGAACAGACTGAAATTGAAGTAAAATAATTTTCACTATCAATTTTTGAAAATGCTACAATCAGTCACATTGTAGTCGAGAATCAATGGAGTTTGTCATCCATGTAATCAAACCCAGAGTGAAACATCCAAAGGCAACACTTAACTGAACATAACCACAAATTATGTTTCAAATATGGCAAAAGCAGAGCTTAGTTTCAAAATTGTATTTTCACAGTACTTGGAATAGACTGCAATGAGAGGCTACATTTATTTATTTATTACTTATTTTCTTTTTGTCTTTCTTGGATCTTGGCATTTAAAATTACATTACACTTTCAGTGGATGTAAAATTGCCTATTCTACTCCAAGAAAGAAAATAATGATTGTAAATAACATTTTGATTGGAACCATTTCTTTTAATAAATAATAACGAAAATATTGTTATTTAATTAAAAGAAAATTGCTCGTTTTACTTGCTCTGGGGCCACTGACAAATGTTGAGGCATGTCTTGTATTTATTTGCCTTTCGCTGGCCCTTTAATCCCAGCGTGAATTCGTTCTTCACGACACGCCCCCTGCTGCCAGCCTCGTTTTATTCAAGCACATGACGTAATTCATAATCAAGAAGTTGGCTCTGCCGTGGCGCTTCTCTAGTACCGCGACGTCTTCTCAAAACACGAGCACGCCTTTGTTCCTGCAGAGATGCGTATTTTCTCGGGCGCGGTGAAAGGAATGCGCTCTTCCACCTGTATGTATCGACACATCGCATTAATCGAGATACAAGATGACATTTATGCAGGTTCACAGTCGAAAATCCCTGTAAGAAACACACAGAACTCATATTACATAAGCGCACGATTTGTGGTGCTATTCTGTGATACTATTACATGGCCAACAAGTGTCACTGAAGACTGTTTTCTTAGTCACTAAAGATGTAACATCTTCACTGTTTGCTCCTCTATTCACTCCTTATCTTTTTTAAATCAGCCCTCCCACTTCAGTCTCCCTTTCCTTTGTTCCTAACCCTGCATGGATGGAAAAGTCTGCAGGTGACCTCTACAATAACAACCGTGTAGACACTAGCTCTTGTCAATGTCTAAAAGCGATCCTCAGTACACGAGACACTACGTTTGTAATAATGTCACTGTTGATTACATATTGTCATATGGAAGCTGATAGTAGATATGTGTCGGTTCAAGGTCGTGTATTTATGATACTTGTTTTTCTTTAGCCTCTATGAGCATATGGTAATAGATGTATTGTTTGTAGGTTGCAGATTTGTTTGTATGTGAGGGTGCTTAAGTCTAGTTCTCTCTGTGAGGAACAGATAGGGAGCTGCAGTATGCTTTCCTTGTGTCATGTAAAACAATAACACAGAGCACGTGGGTGTGAATAAGCAACAGAACTATCTTCTACTGCCACCTTCAGACCAAATGGAGAAATTACAGAAACTAGACCCCTTTGAATGTTATGATTTTAAAGAAACTGGATTAATAACCGTTTTTGGAGGTTATGCTCATCATGCTTTGTCAAAACAAAACAAAGTACAATTAAATAAAAAAATTAAAAGTAAAGTAAAATAAAGTCAAATAAAATAATAAAGTCACATAAAATAAAATACAATTTGTTTGTGGAGATTCATTAGCATTACCACAACCAGTACAACCAATGTTTAATGTTTTTTTTTCATAAACATTTTAATAATTTAGGAATGGAAGCTCATTTCCACCACATAAGAAAAAAAAACGCTTTGGTAAATCATGATAATTTATGATTTTAACTTTTATCTCATAATTATTACTTTATGTAAATTATTATATTGCTTTTTATAGCAATTATTATTACTTAAATATGCTTTGATATTTAAGGAAGCATAACTGCATAAATTTACATTAGACATCAAACATTTAAATATAAATATATTGTTCCCTCTCCCACAGTAAGAGTATTTCAAAGTACATAATGTACCGTACTAAATACAACAGAATACACGAGCCACTAGAGGGTGCTACACATCATCTTATTTTGCAACATATGCATTGTCCTCCTGCAGTCCATGATATTTTGTTTTACATATTAATGGTGATGTGAGAATATGGACAATTCCAATTGCTTTTAAAGTAATAAGATAAGGCTTAAGAGTCTGTTGGTAATGGAAATGTACCATCTCAAATGTTTTTGGAGGCGACAAAGACTCTATTAAGAGGTAGTTGGTTACTGCAAGGGAGTTTCAGTTCATGTTTGACTCCGATCCCCACTTAGCCAGTACTGTTCTGTCTGCATCTCTGTGAGGCGAGATATTGTCCTCTGGAAGGCAAAGACCTCTTCATCTGCTGTGAACAATGTCAGCCGCTCACTGACCTCCTGAGCAAAATAAATGAAGGTCTGATGAACGATTACAAATGTCTTTCTACAGGAATTAGCAAAGAACCAAGGCTCATTAAAATGAACCAGTGAGATTTTATCTACACATGACTAAGTATATTTACATGCATGCATGCAACATTAAAGCAGCACTATGTAAGTTTTGTCGCTCTAGCGGTTAATAAACAGAACTGCACACATCCCGCGGAAGAACATTCCAACCGGAGCTACTTCTCTAAGTTTATGTCTATGGCGATTCACGCAGGTATGTGTTACTCCGCAGCGGTGACGACCCGACCAGGCTACAATAGTCCAAATATAAGTACTTATTATAAGTGTA